GGGGGCGCAAAATAATTTATTAAACGTTTTAAAAATTTAATATTGCCGTCCTTCTACCGACCTGATGCAGAGGCAAGAAGGGTCGGCCTGGAGTAAAACGGGAGTACGTTTAATTATCTTAAAATACCTAGAGGCCATGTACCGATACATGTATTTTGAAAAACTAAAGAACATTCTGATTGTTATACCCCAGAAGAAGTTTTTCAGGAAGGCGACCACCCTTGACTCGAATTAGCCGCCAGACATCTGTGATTGTACTCGTATGCTCTTTCCACATCACAAATCTGATTTGGTCTACCTCTGTCTCTTTTGCCTACAGTTTTATTTTTTCAGAAAGTAACAAGACGTTAAATAAAACTCACAGCACTGAAAGTCCAGCAGCTTCCACACTGCTGTTGGTTCTTGATGGGAGTGACCGCTCCTTTCTGTGTCCAGTCGACGGTGGCGGGCAGGGGGGAGCGTCTGGGCCAGACAGGAGCGTACTCAGAACACACGCCGAAGTTCATGGCCAGTTGGCCCTTGGGGATGGTGGAGAATTCTCCCAGACGGTTGTACTTTTTGAACTCTGTGAAAGTCTGGATAGGCAAGGAATGGGGGAGAAATGTGAATTATTGATAAATTTTTAAAAGCTTCACACTATCACAAATTACAAATTATGATACCATGAGATTTCAAGAAAATGCAAATTCAATGTTTGTATCTTAATGTGTTTTATTTATTCATATTTGTAAGGCATCGTGGTGAAATCGGGTGCTCGACAAAAATTATGAAATTGAAATGAAATAATAGTCACTTTTTCCCCCTTTTAGGTATTTTTGTTCGGTTTTCTTGGGTGGAGAGGGGGAGGGGGTCAACTCCGGAAATGTACCTTTAAAAACACATTTCTCAGTGAGTGTTTACTGAAAAATAAACATAGGCACAAAAAAGTTTCCAGTTATCAAGGACTCTCGAGCTTTGGAAGTCAACAACTTTCGAGGACATTTTCTCGCAAATTATCCCTTTGACACCCGGCAACCCCCACCTTCTTCAATCGCAAATACCTCGACTATTTCAAGATAGAAGGGTTTTTTTTTCATCAAGATAAATGTTTAACAGGTTTATCTCTTGTTTCCGAGATAAATATAAAAAACAATGTCTAAATAGCCTGCTAACCATATCAGCGAAGTAGTTGAGTCCCATGTAGTAGGAAGTCTGTCCCAGATGGTACCGCCAGTTGTGAGCCTCGATGGTCTTCACGTTAGCGATGAAGATCTCAAGACGATGCACAGATTCCTCCATGCTGGTGTATTTCTTGCCTGGACATAGACAAACACATAAAAGATATAAGGAAATGAGCTTTGATTTGCAATTATATCTATAAGAGAGAGAGAGGAGATAGATCGAACGATCGATGAATATATAGATCGAAGCCCGCTTCCAAAATGATAAATTTAAGTTGTAACAGCGAGGTACAAAAAAAAACACACCTACAAAAAGAAAAAAACAAAATCATGTATATGGCACTGTAACGCCACTCACCATTTCTTGTCTGTGTTATACCCTACTATAATTAATGAAAAAAACAACTACAATATCGCTAGCCACGTGCGTGATTATTTTTCAGAAGCAAAAAACTTTTGTATCTTTATGCTCGTACATCTGAATCTGAAATTCCTCAGATACATTATGATATAGGACGATGGTCTGTAACTTATTTTTTTTTCAAGAAGCTTTCTTACATAAGTTACACACAAGTTACTGGACATAGGCGGTTTAGACACCCAAATCTGCGTGATTCAACATGCTATGTGACAGTATAACGGCGTTTAGGAGTTTGAATTACTTTAATCAACGCCACTCGACGAGCGCCAATGGTCGCTTGAGCGTTTGAGTAATCGACAAAAACATTATAATAGTTTTAAGAGTAATTATAAAGAGTTTTTTCAGTTATTTGATTGGGTCTTCTGGGGCAGGACTGTTGGTAAAACAGACTATTCATCTTAAATTTCAATTTCTACTGGTCGTTTTTGTTCAGTGTGTATCAAAGGCAACGAACGTTTGTGTCAACGGGTTTTTGTTTCAGCCAGGTCTGAATGGTTCACAAAGCAAAGATCAAAATGGGAGGGGGG